GCATTTGAAGCGATTCGCCCAAGACACCCGGTTTCCTTGGTATAGGAGATCCGCTGCCATCGCGTTTTCTGCCTTCTTCATTGGTTGAGTCACTAGCCCTCTTTTTCTATGGTAGCCAAAGAACCAATTCCGTCAACAGCCGAAGTCCATCTCCACTAGGTAAAACTACAGAGTCAACGGTAACTCCACAGGTCTTCACTTATCTCTTTCTTATGCAGCAAGATAGGTACTGAGGCCATGAATCGAAAAACTCATGATTCGTCTCGTGTTTCATCCAGCACGTTGATTGCTTCTTTGAACGTTTACTTTGATGTAGTTGCCTCGTGACTGGCTGACAAACGAGCGGAACTTGTGAACTCCATGCATTCTGTTAAACATGACTGATTTGTGGCTTCAATCTTAGGAACTATTCCTCAAACGATCCTACCATACACCTTTCTGATGCTCGCCTATTGCAAGTTCAATGGTTCAGGAACGAAACAGTAAAAGGGCAGAACCGTTCCCATGTGGCTGCTGAGACGCTTGACTAATCGATTCGCGAGACGTTGAACCGACCGGCAGCCCAGTGTATGCTCCTGCGAGGAGTGTTCGACACGAGTCATAAGCGGAAAATCGAGAACAGAGCAAGATTACGGTGAGTTTCTTTACGTACTCAGGTGCGAAGTGAGTGAGTTTGCAAGAGCTAGACAAAAAAGGCAGAAACCAGACTGCGAATCAGTCGGTTAAAGACAGACACTGCGATCAGATGCCCTTCCAAAGGCCCAGGTTATATTAAACGGCGAGAAGATCAAAGAGGATAAACACATTTACCTGGCCAAGAGATTAACAAGCAGCATGATCAGGCTGAAGAGACTCAACAGAAATAAAGCCCGGTCGATGTACGTTCCATTTCATCAAGGACGACCTCCTTGGTAACACTGAAAAGAAACTTTCACCAATCTGTTCCATTCTACCGTCTTGCCGGCAATTTGATTGGCTGTGGGACATAGCCGCTCACTAAAGTCGAAGACCGCCATCTTTCTGTCACCTAGAATTCCATGGAAAGAATAATGCTGAAAATTTCACGTCGCGATCATATACCCAACACGGTGATCAGACAGCGGACGGGAGTGACGGACGACGTCGTCGAAGTCAGAAAAGGAAAGCTAGTGAGGGCCGAACTCATAGCTGGACTCACCGATTGAAGGCGGTCGCCGGCGGCCACTTGGTCACTTGATCCTTAACCACGATGACTAGAAGATAGTATCAGAAGCCGCGAAGACGAGGCTCAGAGGGAGAAGGATCGAAACCGTGAGGATGGCGTGATTTGCCTCCGAATGCCTGCTGATCCAAGTAATCCAAATATGAACTCAGAGGCAAACGCGATGTATGTTCAGGATTATCAAAAAGCCGCGTACGTTACAGAAAATGAAGGTTACTGTAGTGGAAAAAAACCGAGGCGGCACCGGCCAGTCGGCGATGTGCCGATGCCGATCATGCGCCGATCGACATCTGCGCCCATACCTGAACCGAGGCAAACGGTGTCGCCGAGTCAAACCGAGTCTCGTTTTTGCTAAGTTCCGAAGTCGAGGTTTTATTGCTCTTTGCCAAGTTTGCGCCGACGACGCCGAGCTTCGAAAACTACAACCAACGAAGTCACTTGCTACCAAGACCGATCGTTGACAGTTCGAAGCAACAACAAGGTTACAGCACGAAAGACGATATTTTTGAGATAGTGGGTCGTTCACGGTAATATGCAGGAGATAAAGAGCTGGAAATATTCCTACAGTTAGAAAATCAGACTTGGCATGGTTAAATATTACAATATTCCAATTCTAACAAATCGTTGAAATAATATGATAGCCCGGGACTATGAAAATCGGGAGTAGTGCCATTTCAAAGCCTAATTAATTCTGTCCACAGCTCATCACTTCTAGGAGACAACGAAGTGCCATATTAACAAAACACAGTTGTTATGCGCTACTCGTCGCGTTGATTAAAGAGACATGAGAAATCATGCTAATCAGGTAACCTTTCATTATGATATCCAAAATAATCACGATTTGAAAAATGGCAATTTTCGTAATGATAACGTTTTAGCACTTATTCTGTTACCGTGATTTTGTTTGGCTCATCGAAGTGATAGACAGCGAAATTGCGCAAAGCAAACCGACTGAAATTCTACTACTGCAGGTTTATGGCCAATCTTTTAAAAATGGCATCTATAGGATCAGCGCGATTGATGACTTGTGAGTTTTACAAATAATAACTACCCGTACTGAAGGAACGTCATCGATTCACTGGGGAAAGGTGATTCAGCTTATTTAGAAATCGCTCGAATAACTTGATTCATTGTGCCCTGGGGGTCGACTGCAATTTGAAGGTGCGCAACCAGTTAGGTAAACAATAAATAGTATGCTTAAAAATAAATTACCCGTAGAACTTTATTTATACAAAAATACTTATTAGTATCTGGATGAAACCAGCGAAGAGTATGATTTAAAATATTTATCTCTTGATAAATATATTTTTACCAAGAGATAAAAAAGTAAAATAATTGCATGTAAATATTCACAATGCAAATTTCCTCTGAGAAGTAAAGTAAACCTGCAAGCAACGTTTTGTTCACTCTCGCACCTATTTAAAAATGAGTACTTTTGGGTTTGAAACCGTAAAATTATCTTTGGACCTACGCGTCTTCCTTAACAAGGCTGTAATGGTTCGGGTAATTCCCTCCTTCACGCTGTCACTGAATTTGATACGAGGAAACATACGAACTAATCAGCAATCATCAGGTAACCGATGTCAGTGCACTGAAAGCCTGCTCCGTTCGACAGCGTCAAATGTCCGTATAATCCTCAGTCACAGTAAAATGCAACAAGCAAGAAGGTCCAATAGTTTTTGAACACATGACAATGACGAAAAACACTAGATAAAATTGAGTGAAGACTGAACCATGGAATCGTTCAGTTCCTGTTCGGATATCGTTCCCCACCGCAGCCTTTTCGACAGGATATCGCATTTATTCTAGTCAAGAAATCTTGGAGAAGAGGGAATGAATAAACCGGTTTAAAGTGGGGGGGGGGGCGTATGATTTGTTATCACCTGTCTCCCTTGGCCATGATATCGGGTAACACAAAGCCAGAAAACACCGGTTATTTGGGCAGTAAAGCAGCTGTGAGAGTGCGCGTCTGGGAAGACAGATTTCTCCTCCTTTCTTAAATGTTTTACCCTCAACTTATTGCACAGTACAGTGGAAGAAGTAGACACCAATCCGGTACACTCAGGAACACCTAAGTAGATGAAACATAATTTAAATTTTTTGAGTTCTTACAGCTTCATCATCATCAGCCTTGTTTGATTCACTGCTGGTTAAAGGACTCTCTGAAACTTTGCCAAGAAACTCCTGTTGTCTGCGACTTGTATACATCTTGATCAAGCTAAATTCTTTAACTTGTTCTTCCAGTGATCTTCTATGAGTCGTTTATTCCCTCCTGGAATTGAGTCTAGTGTCTCTCTGGTCCAGTGATGGCCGGTTCTTCTTTGAATACGCTTTGCCTTTTTTACGTTAGCGTCTTCCCTCAGACGATGACATCGATATTTCTTGTCTGTGCTGTTATCCAGTCATTCATCTTCCTCCATTTTTTGTTATTTCCAGCATAATCCTTCCATGCTACGTTGGGTAGTTTGCAGTTTATGAAAAGCTTTCATGCTTAGGATCTGTGTGTCGCATCCACAGATAATCATAAGTTACTGGGAGTGCACACATTGATCGAAAACTCCCTTTCAAGCAAAATGGTAGTTGCTCAAGCAGGAACGGTGTTAATCTTCCAAAAGTGCTTCATGCCACCTTGTTCTGTTGATTTCTCAGAATCGATTCTCCGTTGTGCCCAAATGAGATGTCCCAGGTAGGCGTTGTGTGGCACCTCTTTAAGATTAAGTCCACCGAATTCAACGTCTCGGGGTCATGTAGTTGCTAAACATGATCTGAGTTCATTAAGTTCATTTTTAGTCCTACTTTGATGTCAGCCTCATTCACCTGTTTTTAGTTTTTTGTTGGAGTTCTTCAGGTAACATTGAGAGGATCAGAATAGCATCCTCAAATCGTATGTAGCTTAAGCGGCATCCAGTATCCATTTATCTATAACGGTTAATTTTCCTGACGGTGTGTTTTGAAAACTTCTTCTAGGGGTGATAACGGTAAATTAACAAATTCCAATAATGTTTTGCATTGAAACGTGCCATAAAATGCAGATTTGCAATTCACGTTTAAAGGTTAACCATAACTTCACAGTTTTCGGTTCCAAGTTCTGATTCGAAAGAAGGAGGGTTGGGGTCCGTGGCGAGGTCTCCAGTAGAACTTTGCCACTGTCCCTCGTGATACTGATGTTTTGGAGCGTCATACAGGCTCAGTCGTAACCCTGGTTGCCAAAGACCGCAATGTCTGTTGGGGAATTGATACAGACTCCAGAAAATTGTGATCAGAACCTGTTTTACTTCTTCTAGTAGCTGGAGGAGTAGCAGCATAGTGACGTCGAAGATCGACAGGAATGTGAGGAAGACATCAGTCAGCAAAGGAGCCATTATCTGTTCCGCACAAAACAGACAGACAGCGTCATGTCACTATAGCATCTCAGACAAGGTTCCACGGGAACGATACGGTTTTTTAG